AAACGTTACAGACGGAATGGTGGCCGCAATGGGCAATGATCTAGTGACAAATGATGTGGTACAAGAAGTGTAGAGGAGTCCTGATCGAGAGACTGATGAAGTGGTTTTAGATTCAAAACAAGGCGAACTCATTATCGAAGCAAAGCCCAATCACACGGCCAACATGGGCCAGACATCCAAACAAGCCGCCGGAGGAATCAATGATGGCCTCTCTTTCGATATAACTAATCCGATTAGAAGATGCTTAAACTACCTTGTTGAAAATCAAGCCACGTTTTTCATCAGATGCCATATGCATCAAACCCTTTTCTTTATTTCATATGCTTTCGGTGATTATTTAATTCATATGCTTTCGGTGAGTGTTTATTTAATTCATATGCTTTCGGTGAGTGTATGCTGATATATATGTAATATATATTAATGTATAGTTAAATATGTAGTGGCCTCGTGGCCTCGTGGCCTCCATCTGATCATATTGTATAAACCTCCTATATAATGGAGTAGCATTGTAAGGCTTAAGAGATTGAAAATAAAAAGTCTATGTTTAGTCTTTCAATCACTCTCTCTCTCTCTCTCAATATTAATATTTTTCATACCTTTCTCGACAAAATAGAACATCAATGTGGCTGCTCGGTTATATTGCCATAGCATCAACTTGGCCATTGGTCGGAGCAGCTATTCGAGCAGTGTTCAAGAAGAAGCTCAGGAGTGCATTACTTGCAAGGTTACAGAGAGCGTAGATCTTCATGCTAGTAAATCACATCCATAATATGTACATGTAACTTGTGTGATTTTCTAAAGATAGTGAGGTTTGGAGATAATTGTCTAAATCAGTAACCTTAGAGTCTAGTCTGACGGGCAAAGTGTTTATTTTAAAATTTGAATTATTTAAACTGTACAACTAAATGCTCATTTTTGTTACTCATTATTTTTTAAATGAGTGAAGAAGATGGGTGTTTGATTATAAAATTATATTTTTGTCTGTTATGTTAGGAATAATAAGTTAGGAAATAAAAGAAAAAGAAAAGAGGTGGGAAAAGTGAATAAATATGAAGTTCATCTTTTTTTTATTTTCTCACTTTATTTTTTTCATTTTCTTTTTCTTTCACAAATCACTTGACAAATTCAAATCTAAATACATCATTCTCTTCAACAGTTGTGCAAATAAACCCACGTCTTTATACGAAGGAGAAAGAATAAGTCAGTAAATTAAAATATCAAAGTAATTAAAGAAAAGCTTTAAACATTAGAGTAGCTAAAGAAAAGAAAATCAATTGTGATCCATTAGTAACTGCGAGCAAACACTAATTACTCTGTTTAATTTTCATTTTTAGAATTCACTTTTTAGTAAATTCTATTTTTTTTGTTTTATTGCTTATTCAACAGGTAAAGGCAGGAAAAAAGATTGTTTAAAACTCCAAATCTTTCCATGAATACGGATTGTGCTTGAACAAGACATGCAAAAGAATGCTCTTTTTGTTGTTTTCCTTAGGGTAACATATACCATATATGGAAAGCACTAATCCCATATTTGGATTTGAGAAAGAAACCTGAATATCATTGAGAAACTGTTATAGCCTGATTTTGCTATAAGTTTTGTGATTAAGTTCTTTCATATTTACTATAAACGCTTATTCTCTTTCTCCTTCGTTGGAAGTCGATTCTCTTCCTTCTTTCTTTTCTTCTCTGGTGGTGGATATGCCCAAATCTAAATCGAAGATTGCATTTTGTAGTGATTGTACGAAATACAGACCCTAAGGCTGAAGAAACGGAATTCAAGTTATTAGCTTATAAATAAATAAATGTATGATTGGTTTGGTTGTTTTGGAAGCAAAATCGTGAATAGAGTCAATAAAAAAGAAGACTGAGTGAGGACAAAAATGCAAAGAAATTACAAGGCAGAAATGAGGGCCTTTTCCATTTCCCTTTCCAAATCCCTCTCCAAATCCCCCAACCAAACACAGCATAAGGCTGAAGAAACGGAATTCAAGTTATTAGCTTATAAATAAATAAATAAATAAATGTATGATTGGTTTGGTTGTTTTGGAAGCAAAATCGTGAATAGAGTCAATAAAAAAGAAGACTGAGTGAGGACAAAAATGCAAAGAAATTACAAGGCAGAAATGAGGGAGTGAATATTTAAGGGAATCCATTGTTCATTTTTGAAAGTTTCAAAAGGGGGATTTGGAACTCTTCGAATGTTCACTCTGCTTAAACTCCACAATCCTCTCTCTCTCTCTCTCTCCTCACTCTCCCACTCTGGTTCATTATTTGAAGCAAAAACTTGAAAAAAAATTGTAAAGAGATCTGTTTTACGTATTTGTTGTTGATATTCGGTTTGTACAGAGGGTGTTTGCTATGCGAAGAAGGACTTTAACATTGTGAAGCATCCCAATGTTCCAAATTTGCAAGTGATTAAGCTGATGCGAAAAATCACTCTTCTCTCGCTGGAACCACCAGATCTGTGTTTGATCTTATTATTGTTCTAGGTGAAAGGATTAGTATTTCAATAGATAATACTCTTTTTTTTTTGTATGTTGATATTGTTGATGATTGCAACAGATAAAAAAAATTAACACAAACAGATAGTAAATGATCTTAGCGGCTTTTTTTTTTTCTTCTTTTTTTTTCTTTTTGTTGTTGTTCAACATTAATTTTTGAAAACAAAGTTAGGTTAAAAATTTGAACATATAAAATTTAAATAGATTTGAATAGATAGAAAAAAAATTGAACAAGAAATTTTTTTGAACTGATAGGGAAAAAAAATTGAACAGTTAGGAAAATTTTTAAACAGAAAGGAAATTTTTTCAAACAGATAGTCAACGAAAGTCAACAGATAAAAAAAGTCAACAGATAAATTAAGAGGTCAAATTGAAAACAAAATATTCTTTAAAGCAAATAAAATGACTTCTTACCAAACTATTTCACAAAAGGTTCACTTCTTGCCAATAAAAGATATCCACATGATCTAATACTTATATTCTTTTTGGACTTTTAAACAATTATCCCATCTTATTAAAATTAACGTTAAAATTTTGGAAAAGCCTATGGGTCAGACTCTGGGCTAGTTTGGCTTTGGAGAAATAGGGCAGACTGGACTGGATGAATTTGCCAGGAGCCCAACTGAGGCTAGGGCCTGGCCAAGACTGCCAAAAATGAGATGGACCGGGCATTTACATGAGTAGGTTATGGGTATCCAACCATAAAAACGGTCTCATTTCATTGACAATTGGAATTCAAACATGACTCTCTTCTACAACGCGCGCACACACACAGACTATATCACCATCTCAGATTCATCAAGAGGGGCGTGCTATCACAGCATAGTGCTGTGACAAACACAAGGTCGTTTTGGTACAAACAACACTTAATGGATGGCAAAAGCATCCTTAATAAGGGGTAATATTTTTGATATATCTATGCATCTTACTTTTACTCAAAAAAATTGATAAAATAATATTTTAAGTAAATTAACAATTACACTTATTAAGATTTTGTTTAAAATATGAATTATTTCTTATAGTTCTGAAATTAGAAATACCTTATTTACAAAAAAAATAATATATTTAACAAAATTAATAGAAAAAGTGAATTCTTAATTACTTTCTCATATAGCAATAAAATTATAAAAATTATTATTTAAAATATATTTATGAAATTATTTAAATTTAATAGTTTATTAATAAAAAATATCATTTGTTACGTGTCTAAATATGAAATGATAGTTGCGCAAATTACGACGTTAGTTACTATATTTGGTCATTATGTCATTTTAATCTATGTAATATGAATTGCCTCGATTTTAATATTGAATTTATGACTTTGTCTCAATTTGGTCCTATTGGTTACAACTCTTAGCATTTTTTTATGAAAAATACGCACATAGCTGTCATGTGCCATATTTTTAAGGGCAAAATTATAAATTTAGCTAACTTAGTAAGTTATTAATTTTTCTTTAAAAACACTAACGATATTATTAATTAGATCAAATTGATGCAGAATCTAAAATTGAGGATTAAAATTAAGTCAATTAAAAGCATAAGGACCAAAATGATTCAAGAGGTCAAATATAGGGATCACCGGTATGATTTGCCCTTGATAATTTTAATCATTTCATAAATATATTTAAATTAACAATTTTCATAATTTTATTATTATATAAAAAAGTAAATAAGAATTTCACTTTTTTCTATTAATTTTGTTAAATACATTTTTTTGTCAGATGGGTATTTATAATTCTAGAACCATACAAATATATTTTAAACAAATCTCAATAAGTATATTTATTAATTTACTCAAAGTATTATTTCATTTTGGTTTATTTATTTTTTGGAGTAAAAGTAAGATGCGATATACCAAAGATATTACAGAATTACAGAAAGAGAAAATAACAACAGCTCTTTATTAAGGTTGTTTTTGTCATTTGCTATGTGCTGCTTGCACCAAAATGACCTTGTGTTTGTCACAACATCGTGCTGTGACAGCACGCCTCCTTATGAAGTACGGATACTCTAAAAATGCCGCCGTACAAGTACCGGGTACTTATCAGGTGTGGGGTACATGTACAGGTACGACTGCACACGTACTGGGTATCCCAAAAATGCAACGAATGCGTTTTATACAGTCAGTATAGTGATGGGTACGCCATGGCTTACGTTTTTGGATACTCCGGGATAAAAAACGAGATTTTTTATAAATTAAAAGGTACTACAGTAATTTTTTGTGTCGATTTTAAAAAATTATAAAAATATGGAATTCTTTTGTAATAAATAAACCATGAAACCAAAATTAGGGTTATATTATTCTGTGGTATTTTGAAAAATTAGTAAAAAATTTATTTTTTTATTTTTTTAATTTTTTATGACTTTTTGACTTTTTTGTATTAAAAAAAAAAAAAAAAGATTTATATAATTTTTTTTGACTAAAAAAAAAAAAAAAGAAAAAAAAAAAAAAAGAAAAAAAAAGAAAAGCTTTTTACTGTGTATCCAAAACACCCCTCCATATCATTCGATCATCATCTCCTTTCAGTATCTCCTTCCGAAATACTCCCAAGACTGAAGAACTTCAAAGGTGCGATTGAAGAACCAATTAAAATTAGGGTTCTATGTCTATTCGATTATCTCCTTCCAGAAATACTCCCAAGAGAGTCTGAAGAACACTTCGAAGGTGCGATCGAAAGGTTTAATCGAAGGTGCTGCTGATTGATTCTCTCCTTCGAAGGTGCGATTGAAGAGGTAAGTTCATCTTCGATTCTTGCCCCTCTTCTTCTTTGATTCTTCGTCCGCTTTCTTTAATTTTTTTGTCGAGATTCTTGTGCTGTTTCTTCGCAGCAAACGATCGATTCTTCTTCCTCTTTTTTCATCTTTTTATTTTCCAGGTTTTTGTACTATTTATTGGCAGCAAACGAAGAACTAAGATCTGTTCTGTCTTTTTTTTTTCTCTGATATATGTCCAGATTTTTTGAACTAAGATCTGTCCAGATTTTTTTCTGATATATGTCCAGATTTTTGAACTAAGATCTGTCTAGATTTTTTTTTCCTGATGTATGTCATATATATATGCAATATGATATTTGTCACTGGAATATATATTTTTTATTCAATATATGCAATATATTATAGCATGATACTTGTCACTGGAATATATGCAATATATATATATGTTTTCTTTTTTATATTTTTTCCCACAGCCACTGAAATGTCATGCACTTGTAAGTTTAGAGCCTTCTCTGTAATCATCTTCAAAAAGAAAAAAGAAAAAAAAGGAGGAATGTAAAATGACCCCCTGTTATTATTATTTTTTTTTGTAATTTCTATTTTTAATTATGTTATTGAACTTTAATTTGTATGTTGGATGATTAGCTATAAATTTTTTTTAAAAAAATAAAAAATTACCGAATCCCAGCAGTACCGTACCCTACTTTTTTTAAAATTTGCCGTATCGGCGAACCTGTACCCGCACCCCTGCTTCCTAGACGCTCCCCCTAATCCCAGATTCATCACTCTCTCTCATTGTTAGATCAAAAAATTCCCAAATGGAAGAGCTGAAATCAGCTATGGGCGAGCACATGGACCAAATGGCAGATCTAGTCGAGAAACTCACTGCCGAGCTTCGCTCCGGACTTCGACCGGCTTTCGACAACTTCATCGGCTTCTTCCATGCCATTGATTGGACGGTGCACACCTCTCTCTCTCTCTCTCTCTATATATATATATATATACACAAACATGCGTTGGAAGATATACATAACCTTGTTGTGGATTTGTTTGTCCAGTAAACTAAATTGAATATAAAATTTCGAATTGTTTTTTATTTTTATTTTTTTTTTGGGGTGGGGGGAGGGGGGTGTGGAATTTCTCCATTTGATGGGGTTTCAATTGGGATTGTTATTGCAGAAGTACTTGTCTAAATTAGACTAAATATGTTGTTTTTCTAGTATAAATCAGGTCTTAAGTTCATGAACCAATTGGTATGTCAATTAGAATTTCTAGGTGGTTAATTGATGGTAATTTGTTACCATTTTGTGGGTAGAATTATTATTGAAAATAGCTTATCATTGATTGGAAGTTCAAGAAGAAAATATGAGAGGTGAAGTGAATAGGGATAACATAGGAAGTCCACCTAGGGTTCCAAACCAATTGGGAAATGCGATACCTTTGAAGCTTGAGGAGAGGCTTTTGTCGTGAGATAAATAATCCCGGCACTATTTGGCTGAAAATGATGTTCATTTGCCTATTAGTCCAACTTATATTTTTGTAACCAAACCATGGATTAGTAAATCTATTGGACATAAAGTCCAATCCTATTCCTCAGTCCCATGAAACAAACGCCCCTCCGTCCTATGATTGTTAGATTGCAAAGGAAATTAGAATCTTAATTTGATTGATGTGGAGAAGAGTGTGCAAAGGGGAATTGGTGTAATGAGTTGTTAGGTAAATGGGAAAGGTGAGTGATTGGCCGCAAAAACTGTAAATGTGTGTGACATGGTCCTTAACTTGATTGTAAAATGCCTTACCTGGATTCAATTACATTTACAAACTCAGATAATAATGAAACTTTGTTCTTTGTAAATATCTGAAAGTTTCTACATCTCCAAATTCTTTTTTTCCGTTTTGTTGTAGATATTTACTATAATCTTTTGTTTCTCAATAAACACTTGATATTTAATGTGCCACATGGGTATAAAGAACTGAACATTGGAATCCTGGAAGAAGTTGGACAGATGGAATCAGTGTTTTTGTTTTGGTTACGAATGTGTCAAGTGTATAACATAAGACACTGCAAGAAAATGCAATATTGGTGGCGCAACAAAATGCGTTGCTAAAAGTCAAAACTCCTTGGCAAAAAGTTTTGCCGGCACATAAAACTGCATCGGCAACCCGTAGGCAAAAGTGAGTCGGCAAAACTCTTTGCCAACGAACTTATCATTGCGTTGGTAAAAGTATGTCTTTAGCGACGAACATAGTTGTCGATAAAGCCTTCACCCATCGTTGGCAATTCATCATGCGTCGCTGAAATAGTTCAAATATAATGATTATGTTACTTTTGCCGACACAAATTTGCATCGGCAAAAATTACACTTTTAGCAACACAATATGAGTTGGCAAAAGTAAACCTTTGGTGACGCATTTCCATCGATAAATGTTGCCTTTTGCCGATGAGTTGTTTGTCGAGAAAGTCTCACTTTTGGCAACAAATTTGCATTGGCAAAAGCAATTAAAAATTATTTATATTTTCTATAAGATTTCTTTTACCGATGATTGATTGTGTCGCTAAAAATATGAAAGTCACCGACATGTATATATTGCATATATAATAATAATTTTCCATAAAATGCTGCCCTTTGATTTTTTCCCTTATAACTTGTATCTTCTCTATAAAACATACAAACAAATCTATATATAACAAATTATACAAACTAAACTTAACGCCATACATCGTAACAATTACTAATGCAGCCAAATTAATCTCAAATGTATTAAAATAGAAAACAATCCCAAATTGCATTCAAATATCCAACAATACTAAATATAAGAATCTTAAAATGTGTCCAAATATCGAACAACTCAAAACATAATAATACCAAAATGTAGCCAAATATTCAACAAAACAACCTATTAAATGAAACAAAGAAAAATAATATAAACGACTACGTTGTCGAATGACAAACTATCATATCTTTAATGACCATGTCACTGCCGAACCACAAACATCCATTACCAACCTGTCAACAAAAAGATAAAAACATGAGTATTTTATCAATGCATTAACTTCAAAAATAATATATAGATATAGTTCAAATTAATTGAATTAACTAAACTTTTTTCATTTTTAACTGTCAAGTGTTTCATACATGTAAGTTTGAGCTTAATTTGAAACCAAGCGTCTCATGCTTATTCTGTGAGTTTCTACAATTCACTTTTGTCCTTAGTAAGGTGTTCAAACCAATTCCTGGGCCTTTTTTTTTTTTTTTTATGGTGTTCTCTATTTTAAAATTGAAGAGTTCAAAAAATGCAAATTTGAACTTAATTTTGAAATCGGGAGTCGAGTGCTTGTTCCGTGAGTTTGTATAAGTCACTTTGGTCCTTTAGCAAAAGACCCAGACAAGCAACAGACTCCACACAAGGAAGGACATTTGATAGCCCCAACATCCTGTTCAACAACCATATCTGAATGAAATAGGGATCCTGAACAAGTAAAGGCTAACAAAAGTCAACTAATTGAAGCATCATACAGCAGCAAAATGCAACAGCAGAAGGTAACTGCACAATAGCACCATAGCATACTAGCAGCAGCACCAAAAAAGACACAGATTGTCCACAGCAAAAAGACAGAGATTGTTCCCCAAACACAGCCCACAAGGGGTAGGCATCAAACCAATATACAAAGGTAAATATAATTAAAGACACAAACCCTCCATGTTGAAGTACACAAAAAGAACTGGCGCATTGTTGCAGCCTGGTCCTCCTGAAGTCTTCACAACTCTCATCCAAAATATTTGTCTCCATTGTCTTCTCAGTAATCACTGCCTCCCAAAAGGATTCAGCATGTCCTGGGAAAAAAGAGATCAAAATAGAAACCATATATAGAGCTACATTCCAAAGGCATATATGAATCCATAACCGATAATAACCAAAAGAGTAGGAATAGAAACCCCCCCAGGAAAAAGCCCAAGTTTGTTATATAACCGTGCCACTGAGTTACTCAACTATGATTCCTCATACGTGCGCGCACACACACACACATACACACACTATATTGGCTAGTTCACTCAACCCACAAGACTGATAAGACCTGCAGCAAATTTCACTCCTATGTATGCTAATATACTTAACCCACAACAATACAAACATACTCAGCAAAGAAGCAGGTAAAACAAACCAAAACCACGCCACTCCAAAAATATAGACTTGCATCACTAGGCACTCAAACAAATAACTCCCTTACATTAGTACCAGCTATGCAGTCCTGCAAATAAACAGATTTAGAAATCATATAGGGTCTCAGTTCACTCAACCCTCCAGAAACCTCACACTCAAACCTAGGTATGAGCCCACTTTCCCTCAACCCACCATCACTATAATGTGGCCAGCTTGGCAATCTGCACAGCCAAAAGTTAGAAAGAAATGTTGCAGTGTCACACATTATATAGCTCATCATACTCCACCAACAGAAGAAATATGTAACCCTCCAGCTCCAGGACCAGTATGCACAGTAGTAACATTTTACAGGATGGAGACAGGGAGTCTCCGATTTGATAGAAACCAATTATCATTAGATTGCCTCTTCAGATTTTTGACAGACATAATTCTGAATCTAATCATATTCACAGTATTTAAGAGAACCTCCTCAGGGGTTTTCTGTTTTGTGAAAATTCTATGGTTTCTCTCAAGCCAAATATTATAAACAGAACAAGTGAAGGAAAGCCTACTTAGGATGGAACCCAAAGACTTACCCCTCACATTTTGTGCAAGATGGTCTACCAGTTCAGACCAAGGCATAGTGGGCCAGGAAACATTGAGCTTTGCTTTGATGGCCATCCAAACCCTTTCAGAAAAAGGGGCAAGTGAAGAAAAAATGGTTATGATCTTCAGCATGATATTGGCATAGGGGGTACCTAGCAGTGGGTGAGATACCAAACAACTTCTATCTATCGCTAGTATTCAGCCTATTCTGGATAGCCAACCAGGTAATGAAGCTAGCTTTAGGGATGGAGTATGAATCCCATAATAAACCAGACCACTGCACCTTATTAAAAGACCATCTCCAAGCAGACCAGACAGAGTTAATGGTAAACTCACCATCAGGATTGAGATTCCAGACCACAGAATCAGGGCCCTGTTTAGGGACAAGACTAGGTGGGGTAGAATCAATCAGATCAGCAATAGAATGGGTATTAACAGAAGGCCACTTCCATGAGCCATGAGACACAATTTTCTAGACTTTACTCTCCCCATTGAGAGCGGTATCATACATAATTCTTTCCCCAAACTTCACCCAAAGAGAACCCAAAGGGTGCCAATTATCAAACCAAAGGAAAATATTAGCTCCATTACCCACAATATGATTAATGAAAGGGTAGATAATAGGTCTAAGACCTAAGATCTTCCTCAAAACCCAACTAGGATCAGATGGGATTTTAGTTTGGTTATAATTAAAGGTTATGACACATTGTGGTATTGGTTATGATTTGATTATGACCTATTATGATTGTAATTTGGCTATGACCGAAGAGGCCTTTGGTAGTGCCTCAAAGGTATTTGGTTATGATCCATTAAGTTATGACAGAAAGTGATTTGATAATGACACTTTTGGGTATGTCACAACTAACATATGGTACACCCCTTTTTAAGAAATGCATATTATAGCATTACCTATTAAAAAATATAAGTTAAAATATATTCTGCAACTTTCTAATAACAAACTTCTTTAGCTTCTCAAAAAACAAAAAATGTAAGTTATCCCTTGTTATATATATATATATATATTGGTGTTTGTTATATGTAAAACAAGTCTCATAATTAAGGTTATTTTGATTCTTAATAAAATACCACAAAATCTCATAACGAACATGTATTATTTTCAGTCATAATCAAAAACACCAGTCTCATAATCATGTTCACTACAAAACTTTATACGTAAATCCTACATGATTTATAATTAGGGTGTATAATACACAGGTGTGTACCACAATTTTTTTTTTACAAAATTTTCTTAATTAAAATTTATCCTTTTACATTTATAAATTGTAGAAACTAAATTTCTTAATAGCTAGGGAGGTTATGTATTAAATGGAAAAAATATATAACATAAAAGTCAATGTAGAGGTGGAAATTTTGAGAGATGTCGGGCTGTTCTTTCTGTCCTAGATTTTTTTGTTCTAGTTCATGACAATCAGGTTAAAGCTCATCACATCCCTTTAAACAACATAATCAATTATTAACCCAATCAAAACACATAACTTTATACGAACAATGTATTCATATCAAAAAGTCAAATTGCCCAGAAATTAATTAAAATAAATAGATCTGCAATTTTTGTGGGGTAATGACTTGGGTTTAAAATAGGCAGGGTTTTGAAAATGAGTAAAAGAAAGAAGAAACAGAGGCAAAATGAGATAGTGATAGAGAACAAAGACAATAAACTTACATTGGAAAAAGGCAATCGACAGAACCGGAAGAATACAACGGCGGAAGGCAGCAACAATAATGGAGGAGGGTTTGCATGTGCGATTGAGAGAGAGAGCTACAGGAAACCGTATCACTATTGAGAGAGAGAGATAGAGAAGGGAGAGGCAGTTGGGAGGTGGAGGGTTTACACTGATATGTTTATCTATTTATTTAACTTATAAAGATTTGGGGTTTTTTTTTATTTTTTATTTTTTTTTTAATTTTAAAGAACACATCAAAACGATGTAGTTGCATAATCTTCATAAGTGGCTAACTTTCAGTGATACAAATTTATTTTGTCGCTAAAAGAAAAGCTCTTTGCCAATGCAGAGTCATTGTCGCCAATACAAGGAGATTAATAGCGACACATAATGCATCGCCAAAACTATAAAAGCCTCGCTAAAACTAATTCACTTTTGGTGCACATCCTGGTTTTTGGCGCCAAGTGAATGTTTTGGACTTTTAGCAATGTGCAGGAATAGCGTCGCTAAAGGCTAACCTTTACCAACGAAATTGATCCTTGTGTTGCAAAAAATATGGCTTTTACTACGAAAAAATGACCTCGTCACCAAAAGTGGTCGCCAAAACTGCAATTTCTTGTAGTGAGACTATTGAATCTTGAAGCTCAAACATTTGAATTCTTTGTATTCTTTTATGTGACTGTCTTTCTATTACTTTATAAAATTTGAATGGTAATGCTTATAAATATACAAGGAGACTAATAGCGACACATAATGCATCGCCAAAACTATAAAAGCCTCGCTAAAACTAATTCACTTTTGGCGTACATCCTGGTTTTTGGCGCCAAGTGAATGTTTTGGACTTTTAGCAATGTGCAAGAATAGCGTCGCTAAAGGCTAACCTTTACCAACGAAATTGATCCTTGTGTTGCAAAAAATATGGCTTTTACTACGAAAAAATGACCTCGTCACCAAAAGTGGTCGCCAAAACTGCAATTTCTTGTAGTGAGACTATTGAATCTTGAAGCTCAAACATTTGAATTCTTTGTATTCTTTTATGTGACTGTCTTTCTATTACTTTATAAAATTTGAATGGTAATGCTTATAAATCTATTTTTTCTTTAATTTTTTTTCATGATCATCATTAAAATCACACAATGTGATTGAAATCTTATCTTAGTGGAAAAACAAGAATTTTAAAGCACAAGCATACAACTGAGAGTGCATTAGAAAAAATTTTAAGACAGAAAATCTGCACCTTTGGTGGAGGTTTGTTTTCTTGTGATATATCACTAAAGTTTGGAAATTAGTAAATTATGTATGCAAATGCAATATAATATAGAAGTCGTAAACATTTTTCTTCTAACTAATTAAGTTCTACTTAGTTCATTAGTTATGGAGTTTGTGGGCCAGACTCTGGGCCAGCTTGGCTTTCGAGAAATAGGGCAGGCTAGGCTGGATGAATGAGCCAACTAAGGCTACGGCCTGGCCAAGACTGGGCTCATGCCAAAAATGAGATGGGCCAGGCATTTACATGAGTAGGATCTGGGTATCCAGCCAGAAAAACGGCCTCGTTTCATTGACAATTGGAATTCAAAGCCGACTCTCTTCTACAATTTACACATTGCACACACAGATTCATCACCATGCCAAACGGCCTCGTTTCATTGCCAGAGAGAGAGAGAGAGACTGTATCACCATCTCAGATTCATCACTCCCTCTCATCGTTAGATCAAAAATTTCCCAATTGGAAGAGCTGAAATCAGCTATGGGTGAGCACATGGACCAAATGGCAGATCTAGTCGAGAAACTCACTGCCGAGCTTCGCTTCGGACTTCGACCGGCTTTCGACAACTTCTTCGGCTTCTTCCATGCCATTGATTGGACGGTGCACACTTCTCTCTCTCTCTCTATATATATATACACAAACATGCGTTGAAAGATATACATAACCTTGTTGTGGATTTGTTTGTCCAGTAAACTAAATTGAATATAAAATTTCGAATTTTTATTTATTTATTTATTTATTTTTTGGGGTGGAGGGAGGGGAGTGTGGAATTGCTCCATTTGATGGGGTTTCAATTAGAATTGTTATTGAAGTAGTACTTGTCTAAATTAGACTGAATATGTTGTTTTTCCAGTATAAATCAGGTCTTAAGTTCATGAACCAATTGGTATGTCAATTAGAATTTCTAGGTGGTTAATTGATGGTAATTTATTACCATTTTGTGGGTAGAATTATTATTGAAAATAGCTTAATTTTTTGGGGTGGAGGGAGGGGGGTGTGGAATTTCTCCATTTGATGGGGTTTCAATTAGGATTGTTATTGAAGTAGTACTTGTCTAAATTAGACTGAATATGTTGTTTTTCCAGTATAAATCAGGTCTTAAGTTCATGAACCAATTGGTATGTCAATTAGAATTTCTAGGTGGTTAATTGATGGTAATTTATTACCATTTTGTGGGTAGAATTATTATTGAAAATTGCTTATCATTGATTGGAAGTTCAAGAAGAAAATATGAGAGGAGAAGTGAATAGGGATAACATAGGAAGTCCACCTAGGGTTCCAAACCAATTGGGAAATGCGATACCTTTGAAGCCTGAGGGGAGGCTTTTGTCGTGAGACAAATAATCCCGGCACTATTTGGCTGAAAATGATGTTTATTTGCTTATTAGTCCAACTTTTATTTTTGTAACCAAACCATGGATTAGTAAATTTATTGGACATAAAGTCCAATCCCATTCCTCAGTCCCATGAAACAAACCCCCCTCTGTCCTGTGATTGTCAGATTGCAAAGAAAATTAGAATCTTAATTTGATTGATGTGAAGGAGTGTGCAAAGGGGAATTGGTGTAATCAGTAGTTAGGTGTAAATGGGAAAGGTGAGTGATTGGCCCCGAAAACTATAAATGTGTGACATGGTCCTTAACTTGATTGTAAAATGCTTGACCTGAATTCAATTCCATTTACAAACTCAGATAATAATGAAACTTTGTTCTTTGTAAATATCTGAAAGTTTCTACATCTCCGAATTCTTTTTTTCCGTTTTGTTGTAGGTATTAACTAGAATCTTTTGTTTCTCAATAAACACTTGATATTTAATGAGTCACATGGGTATAAAGAACTGGACATTGGAATCCTGGAAGAAGTTGGACAGATGGAATCAGTGTTTTTGTTTTGATTATGAATGTGTCAAGTGCAGAACATAAAACTATTGAATCTTGAAGCTCAAACATTTGAATTCTTAGTATTCTTTAATGTGACAGTCTTTCTATTACTTTATAAAATTTGAATGGTAATGCTTATAAATCTATTTTTTCTTTAATTTTTTTTTCATAATCATCATTAAAATCACACAATGTGATTGAAATCTTAGTGGAAAAACCAGAATTTTAAAGCACAAGTGTACAACTGAGAGTGCATTAGATAAAAATTTTAAGACAAAAAACCTACACCTTTGGTGTAGGTTTGTTTTCCTGTGATATATCACTAAAGTTTGGAAATTAGTAAATTATGTATACAAATGCAATATAATATAAAAGTCAAACATTTTTCTTCTAACTACTTAAGTTCTACTTAGTTCATTAGTTATGAGATCAGATTTCGGTTTCTTAACTTTATTTGTTCTTTCTTTTCTGCAGGAACCTTGGTTAATATGCTTGATGTCGTTCCATGTTGTGTTGCTACTAGTAGTAATCATCTCAAGGAAGAATATCAATTTCCAGATGTGTTTGTTTCTTCTTGCTCGTAAGTTTTTATCTTCTTTTGGGTAAATGTGTCCTCTCATATTTGCGGCATTGTGCAATGATGCATGGTGATTTTCCTTGTTGTCTAAATGAAAATATTGTGAAAGTATTTTTATGGTCATTGGCTCATAATAAGATTAATGTCAATGATTTGTTTTAAAGGAGACCCCCCAATTACTCTTTGCTTCCACAGTTGTGTAGCTTGTCATGTAGGAGGGATGAGGAAAGTATTAGCTATCATTTTTTGCAATGTCCGGTGGCTTTATTGTTCTAGCGGAAATTGTTTTATATGGTGGATGTGATGTGTTAGGTAGCTGAGAGTGGTGGCCAATACTATGTATAAGAAGAGAGAGGAGCATTTGATAACCTTCAAGAATGGGTCAATTAGGAGCCAAATAGATTACTTTCTAGTAAGAAAAGGGAAGCGTCTAAAATGCAGCGATTGTAAGGTGATTTCTGAAGAGAGCTTAACGTCTCATCATAGGATTTTGGTACTAGATATATGCTTTAAAGGGCAATACCAAACTCAGAAAGATAGTGGGCGTCGCAGGATTAGATGGTGGGACTTAAGAGGGGAGAAACTAGACACATTTAAGTATAGAATGGATAAAGAAAGTACTTAGGACTTAGAAGATGGTGTTAACACTATGTGGAACTTGATGACCAATTGTATGAGGAGAATCTCAAGGAAAGTTCTTGGAGAGTTGAAAGGACAGGGACCCAACTTTAGGAAAACTTGGTGGTGGAAGGAGGAGGTTCAAGTAGTAATAAAGACGAAAAAAGAGAGCTTTAAAAAGTGGCAGAATGACAGAACTGAAGAAAACCTTAAGCGTTACAGATTGACCAATAAGGAGGCTAAAAAAGTAGTGAGGGAGACTAAGTTGAAAGCCTATGATGACCTATACACTAGACTAGATAGTAAGGAGGGTGAGAAGAGAATATACAAACTTGCTAAGATAAGAGAGGAAAACAAGAAATTTTAATCTGGTTAAAGTGCATCAAGGGTGAGGACTCTAAGGTGTTGGTGAATGATGAAAAGATTAAGGAGAGGTGGAAGAACTATTTGGAGAAGTAGTTAAATGAGGAACATAGAGGTAGGTCAAAAAGGGAGGAAGTAGGCAATAATCAGGAATACCAGGACTACAGGTTCTATCGTAGGATTAGGGACTTTAAAGTGGAGTTTGCACTTAAGAAGATGAAATTGAAGAAGGCTTTAGGACCCGATGATATACCTATTGAAGTGTAAAAATGTTTGAGTAAGAAGGGGGTTGTTTTGTTGACTAGGTTATTTAGCAAGATTTTGTTAACTAGAAAAATGCCAGAGGAATGGAGAAAGAGTATTTTAGTGCCAATATATAAGAATAAAAGAGATGTCCAGAATTGTAAGAACTATAGAGGAATCAAGTTAATGCGTTACACAATGAAAGTGTAAGAGAGAGTGATGAAAGGTCGAATGTGAGATATAACAGAGGCTTCAGAGAATCAATTTGGGTTTATGCCTGGTAGGTTAACAATGAAAGCGATCTATCTTTTGAAAAGGGTAATAGAAAAATATAGAAAAAATAAAAGAGACATTCATATGGTTTTTATCGATCTTGAAAAAGCATGTGATAGAGTGTTTTGGGATATAATCTGGTGGGTGTTAGAGAAGAAATGAGTGACAAAAGGTTACATTGATGTGATTAGATGGATATGTATGAAGGTGTGGTGACTACTATTAGATCGCTTACTGGAGAAACGAGTGAATTTTCAATTTTTGTAGGGTTACACCAAGGATCAATCTTAAGTCCTCATTTTTTTGCTTTAGTTATGGATGAGTTGACGCGCAATAGTTAGGATGATGTGCCTGTGAATTATTATTGTGGTATATTGTGGTAGTTTATAGTATTCATTAAGGATTGTTTAGTCCTTTAGGTTATTAGGGTTTTGTCCTATTATATTATATATTTGTACTTAGCTTTCGATTCATTGATGTAATCAACATACTAGTTTCTTCTCTATTATTTTGGTATCAGAGCCAAATTCCAGACACTAGCATACCTTTCGCAGGTCATCATCGACCATCACAGCCCTTTTCTCTCTCTTCGCAAGGCCTTCGCTGGGTTCTCTGTCCTGTTCGTCGCAGGCCATCTGTTGGTTCTGGTCTCTAGGTTGGTTCAATCGATCCCTCTTTGCGACTCTCTTTGTCTCGCCCTCTAGTGCACACGATCAGCGTAAGGTCTGCCCTCCCTCTGTGTGACTCGCTCTGTCTCGCCCTCTAGTGCACACGATTAGTGTAAGGCCTGCCCTCTGGTGTCGACTTTGACTTCTGGTACTTGGTTCAGTCTCTCTTTCTTCGTTGCCTTGGTTGTTCTCTTCCAGTCTGATATTTGTGGTGTTGGGTTCATTATAAGTTTGACCTAACTGATTCTTTAATTATAGCAATAGCAATTCTGGTTATCTCTAATAGTCACTCTATTTTGATTTTACTATGTTGCTTAACTATAGCACTATGACTAATTATAAATTACAAGCTATTACCACTAAATTAGATGGTACCAATTACTTTTATTGGTCTCATTTAATGAAAAAATTTATAATGCGTAAAGGCATGTGGAACTATGTTATTGGTGTGACTATTAGACTTACGGAATCCTAAGAAACTGAGGCTGATATTGCTATATGGGATAAGGAAAATGCACAAATTCTTACTTGGTTTCATAATTCAGTTCAAACTACCATTGGTATGAATTTTTCCAAGTATTCTAATTCTAAACAAGTTTGGTACTATTTGAAAACTATGTACCTTGCGTTTGACTTTGCAAAACAGTATGAACTTGAGATGTATATTTGCAGTGCTAGTTAGAAAGGTAAGTCTATTCAGGAGTTCTACAATGAGACGACTACTTATTGGGATCAGCTTGCTTTGATGGAACCATCAGATTTGCAGTTACTTGACAGTTATACCAAGTATCGGGAGAAACAACGTCTTGTTCAATTTCTTATAGCTCTTCGTGATCAATTTGAGCCACTTCGGGGAGCTATTCTTGATTGGTCTTCCTTGCCTTCTGTGGATGGTGCTGCCCGTGAGCTTATTGCAGAAGAAACTCGATTTAAGGTGGCTCATGGTGCTCTTGCTTCCCAGTCAGTTTTTGCCACTTCTCTGCTCTTGCCCACCCCACCACCTCCTTTATTTCAGGTTACTGGTAAGACTAAGCCTCGAGTTTCCATGGATGAGTGCAGTTTTTGTCATCAGAAAGGTCATTTGAAACATGCTTGTCCTAAACTTTTGCAGCCCAAGGGTTGTTCATCTGGTCCACCATCCTCTAAGCCGACATCTACGGGATCTCACTCATCTGCCGACTTTTCTACACCAGTTTGTGAGAATGGTCCAACTTCCAATATGCAGTCTATGTTTGAGCAGTTCAAGTCTTTCATCGTGGCCAATCCAAATCTTTCATCCCAAGCCTCTGCTATGACTACCACTCAGTTAGGTTTGTTTGGTTTATCCTCTTCAAGTAATATCCACACTTCGTGAGTTTTTGATTCCACATCATATGATCCATGTTGCATCTCTCCTTCTTCTTCTATCACTATTGCTACCGCTAATGGTTCTTCTATGCCTATAAAATCTATTGGTTCTATTTTCTCTTCCCATTTGTCTCTTTCTCCTGTATTTCATGTGCCTCACTTGTCACTCAGTCTTATTTCTATTAGTCAATTATCTGATTCTGGTTTTGATGTTATTTTCTCTTCTCATTGTGTTGTGCAAGATCGGGTATCCAATAAGCAAATTGGGATCGCACGTTGAGTTGGAGAACTATATATCTTGGACAGCTTGCATGTTCCTCCAGAAGTGTCTTCTACTGCATTGTCTTCTTTTTGTTTAAACAATAAGTTTTCTTTATTTTATATTTGGCATTCTACGTTAAGTCATCTGTCGAGTGATCGTTTGAGGATGTTAGTTCGGTCTGGACATGTAGGCAATTTTCCTATTGAGGATATTTCTGAGTGTTATGGTTGTAAACTGGCTAAAATGTCTGCTTTTCTTTTTAATTAAAGTAATTTTATTTCATCTTCTCCTTTTCAATTGGTTCATACTGATGTTTGGGGTCCTTCCCCTATAGTTACCAAGGGTGGTTCGCAATATTATGTGTCTTTTGTAGATGATTACAGTCGGTTTACCTGGGTTTATTTGATGACTCGAAAATCTGATTTTTACAAAATATATTCCAATTTTCACTCCATGATTCACACTCAGTTTTCTGCCACCATTAAAATTCTCTGTTCTGATTTGAGGGGTGAGTATTACTTGTCTGAGTTTGAGGAGTTTTTAGCTACTCATGGCACTATTCATCAGTCTTCCTATTCTGACACTCCTGCCCAAAATGGTCGAGCTGAGCGCAAACATTGCCATCTCTTTGATATAAGTTGCTCTTTGATGCTCTCGTCTTTTGTCCCTTCTATTTTTTTGGGAGAAGTTGTGCTCACTGCTACATATCTTCTCAATCGGATGCCTACTCCTCTTCTCTCAGGCTCATCTCCGTATGAGCGTCTTTTTGGTGTTACTCCCAATTATTCTCTTCTTCGTGTTTTCGGTTCTGCATGCTTTGTGCTTCTTAAACAGGAGCGCTCTAAGCTTAGTTCTTGTTGTGTCCTATGTGTCTTTTTAGGGTATGGCATTAATCAGAAAGGTTATCGGTGCTATGATCCTGCCACCAAAAAGCTATATGTGTCTCGGCATGTCACCTTTTTAAAAAAACTACCCTACTATGCTATATCTTCCACTCCTGTCCCTATTACCAAGGATGAATTGGTTCACATTGACCCATTTTCTCTTAATATTTCTCTCGATGAGTTTGTTTCTGATATTGAGGTCTCTGCCTTGCCTTTTACTAGCACTTCTGATATCTCGCCAGCTACTCCCGCTTCCTTTCCATCTCCCACTTTCCCTGCTCCTCCTCTTGTTTATCAGCGCCGCAAAGCACTCCTGAGCTCGCCTGTCTCTAGCTTTATTGTCCTTCCCGCCTCCTGCACATCGCTTTCCAATGCGAGACCGTCATCCTCCAAACTGGTATGGTTTTGGTAATGCATATTTTTCCCTTTCCTATCAGTCTTTTCTTTATTCTCTTCATACTTATTTTGAGCCTAGGTCCTACAAGGAAACTTGTCATGATCTTAATTGGATTACTGCTATGAATGACGAGTTAATTGCTTTGGCTAACACTCAGACTTGGGATTTGGTTCCATTACCTGCTGGCAAGAATATTGTAGGCTGTAAATGGGTCTATAAGGTCAAAACCCTTTCTAATGGTTCTTTGGAACGATACAAAGCTCGTTTGGTTGCCTAGGGCTTTTCTCAAGAGTATGGAATTGATTACGATGAGACTTTTGCCCCTGTTGCCAAGATGACTACTGTTCACACTCTTATCTCTGTTGCTGCCACCTATCACTGGCCTTTGTTTCAACTAGATGTCAAAAATGCTTTTTTGAATGGGCATCTTGTTGAAGAAGTGTATATGCACCCTCCACCGGGTCTCTTTCACGCTCCTGGTGTTGTTTGTCGTCTTCGCCGTGCTCTATATGGTCTCAAGCAGTTTTCTCGTGCTTGGTATGGGTGATTTCACTCCGTTGCACTTCAGCTTGGTTTTTGCCCTAGTCATCGTGATTGTGCTCTCTTTGTTCGGCGCACTTCGGTTGGCCTTGTTTTCCTTCTCTTATATGTAGATGATATGATCATCACTGGCTCTGATTCTAGTACTATTGAGGCGGTTAAGCATCAATTGTTTCAGGAGTTCGAGATGAAGGATTTGGGGTCTCTTCAGTATTTTCTTGGTATTGAGGTTGCTATTTCTCCTATTGGGTATCTTCTCGCTCAGACTAAATATGCCCGTGATATTATTTCTCGTGCCAATCTCACTGATGACAAAATTGTCGACACTCCTCTTGAGTTGCATGCTAAGTTTTTTGTTTCTGATGGCGTTCCGCTTGAGGATCCCACTTTGTATCGTGAGTTAGTTGGGTGCCTTGTTTATCTCACTGTTACTTGTCTGGATATCTCCTATGATGTGCGCATTCTTAGTCAGTTTGTTTTTGCTCCTCGTTCCACACACTAGGCTGCCTTACTCCGTACGCTGCGCTACCTTCGTGGCACTTTGTTGCAATGTTTGCTGTTATCTGCCTCTTCGGACTTGACTTTTCATGCCTATGCTGACGTTGATTGGGCAGGTGACATTTCTGATCGCAAATCCACTTCTGGTCTTTGTGTTTTCCTCGGCGATTCTCTCATATCCTGGAAGAGTAAGAAACAGTCTGTTGTTGCTCGTTCCATCGCTGAGGCTGAGTATCGTGCCATGGCTTATGCTACTTCCGAGATCATTTGGCTTCGGTGGCTTCTTTTTGATATGGGTGTCTCTCTTTCTGATCCGACTCTGTTATATTGTGATAATTAGAGTGGCGTCCAGATTGCCTATAACTCAGTCTTCCATGAGCGGACTAAGCATGTTGAAATAGATTGTCACTTTGTTAGATAGCATCTTCAGGCTAGCACTATCATTCTCCCTTTTGTTCCCTCCTCTCTTTAGTTGGTCAATTTTTTTACGAAGACTCACACTATTGCTCGTTTTCGTTTTCTTCTTGGCAAACTTGCGATGCTTTTTGCACTCGCATCCTCAGTTTGAGGGGGGAGGGGAGTGAATTATTATTGTGGTATATTGTGATAGTTTATATTATTCATTAAGGATTGTTTAGTCCTTTAGGTTATTAGGGTTTTATCCTATTAGATTATATATTTGTACTTAGCTTTTGATTCATTGATGTAATCAATATACAAGTTTCTTCTCTATTATCAGTGCCATGGTGTATGTTTTTTTGCAGATGATATCGTGTTAATGGATGAGATTAGAGAATGAGTTAACACTAAGTTGGAGATTTGGAGAAAAGCACTTGAATATAAAGGATTTAGGACAAGCAGAACTAAGACAGAGTATATGGAGTGTAATTTTAGTAACAGTCACAATGAAAGCAGAAGAGAAGTGAATATTGAGAACCAAGAGTTACCTAAGAGTGAACATTTTCGTTATTTAGGATTGATCATCACAACGACTAGGGAGATTGGAGCAGATGTGGTCCACAGAATTAAGGCGAGGTGGCTTAAGTGGAGGAGTGCGTCTGGAGTATTGTGCGATAAACTAGTGTCCATTAAACTAAAAGGGAGTTCTATAGAACGGTTATTAGACCAGAGATATTGTATGGGACGGAATGTTGGGCAACTAAGAAACAACATGTAGATAGGATGAGTGTTGTTGAGATGAAGATGCTAAGGTGGATGTGTGACAAGACTAGAAAAGACAGAGTTGTGAATGAGTATATTCGAGAATGGACAGGAGTAGTACCGATAGAAGATAAGTTAAAAGAGAATAGATTGAGATGGTTTGGTCATATACAACGAAGACCAACAGAGGTAATAGTGAAGAGATGCGATACAGTGACAGTATATGGTAGTGTTAGGAGAAGGGGTAGACCTAGATTGATATAGACCTAGATTGATATAGACTAGTGTAGTAAATAGAGATATAAATCTCCTTAATTTGACTAACGAAATGGCCTTGGATAGAGTTGAGTGGAGAAGAAGGATTCATGCAGCCGATCCTATTTGATGGGACTTAAGGCTTGGTTTGGTTTGATTTGGTGGATGTGGTGTAGGTATGGCTCCTCCCTACAACATACAGATGCTTTTGATTGAGTATAGGGGATTTGGTGCCAAAGCAAAGCACATGCTCTTCAGGATTGTGTAACTTTTGCTATATTTTGGAGATTTGGTTGGAAAGGAATGCATAGATAACATTAGGTGACCTGTACAACCCCAATAAGAACCATAATAAAGCCCAAAAGTTGACAATATAACATAAGTTGACCCAGCTGATCCCAGCTGATCAAAAAAAAAAATTTAGGTGACCCGTGCAACCCATATCTAGAAAATTTTAAATTTACCAAAATACCTTACTCTGAAAAATTACATATATACATGTGCCTGTGTGTATGTAAAGATTATCATATTAACATTTAATTTGATTTTTTTATTTTTATTGTTTTTTGAAAATGATATTAATACTTAAAATCTAGATAATCATAAAACAGGAGTCTACTAAAAGCCTAAGACTAGGCCCAACAATGAAATTATTCTAATATGCAAAGTCTATTTTCTTCTCTTATATTTAACTGCATCATTTTTATTTGTGTGTTATCTTTATCTTGCCTCTCCCCATATGCTCATGGAAGGGGTGGTGTTGGGTTGGCTAACTCTTCCATCAACATTACTTTTTTTAATCAATTTAGCTACTTTATAACCTAAAGGAGAGAGGGAGGTCATGCTTATCTCCTTCTTGAATTTTGCACATAAGGTACTCCGCTGGATGTTGAAATGTTGATGACAAAAGATTTTATGCCTTTTTTGATAGTTTGTGTCCAACTTTCCTCTTTAACAGTTAAAGACAAGAAAAATGGCTATGTTTATTTTTCTTCTAATCTGCAGTATCCTAAGTACACTGTTCACATAGCCAAGAAACTTGCCACCCGTTCAAAAACCTAACTTTGCCTTCATCAAATGTTATCGAACTCTTTATGTGATGAATGTTGAATGAATGGAAAGTCAACTATCAAAAGTTCATCATTTATATCTATTGCTCTTGGGAGATTCAACTTGATTTATATCGGTGATGTGGTGCAGTGGCTGGTGTATATTTTGCTGAGACACTTAATAGTTCTCTGAGAGACAACTGGAAAAGCTTTGCGGGTCAGAATTATTTTGATCCTCAAGGACTCTTTCTCTCAGTGCTCTGGTCCGGGCCTCTTCTTGTCATTGCAATAATAATATTGGTTAGAGACAATCACCTGATCCTCTCTTCCCCGCTGTACCTTAATATGTTGAACTTCTTACCGAAATGCCTTGATTGTCTTGATTTCATTTACAGGTAAACACCCTCTTCTCCTTATGTTATCTAATTGTGAGGTGGAAAAGAGCAGAGCTCCGACACCGTGCAAGACTTTCACATAACAAACAGGATTGATTTACTCTTCTGCTTCACTAGCCAAGTAACCTCCTTTGAGTTTGGAAAAGAGGCGTATCAGTCATGGAGTTTAGTTGTAGAAGCAGGACCCCTCCTGGTTTCTTCATGAATATTTTTTTCGGTCTTTACTTTTTTTATTTTTTATCTTCCTTTTCTTTGGGTGTCATCTTGTTTTTAATTTGAGTGAGACATTTACCTTTTTTTCCCCTTGTTTTACCCTCTGAAATTTTGAGCACTACAGGCTATCAAACAATTGAGCTACACATACTACTGTTTCTATTATCATCATCCATGCCTACTCTTCTCTCTCTTCGTTATTATTATTTTTTAAATTTGGTCGGGAAAGGCATGTCTTGAATGCTTGAAGCCCTTTTTTTTTCTCCGTATACTGTGTTTAGTCGGGGGATTTAGAAAAAAAATTGAAAAGGGAGAAAGAAAATGTAGGTGAAATGTGAATAAAATATGTTTATATTTTATTTAGTTTTACATATCTTTTTCCTTTTTCTTTCTAAATTTTTTTAAAAAATTTCAACTAAACACAGCGTTAGAGAAATAACGATGGATTGGTGATTGGTGAATTAACAGTTGTAGCAATTTGAGAAGGGAGAGAGGGAGGTGGTGGCGGATTGGTGGTTGTGCTGAACAGAGATAACGAGTTTTTTTGTATAGAAATAATGCAATATTCAAAATTTTGCTTTTCATAACAAAACATGAAACATACTTGAGTATTGAATGGTGTAAGATTCAATATTTTACTGATGTGAGATTCATTAGTCTACATTTTGTTCAACAAACATGTATGGATAATTGATTTTTGAAGATTATTTTCTTTTAAAGAAAATTATATAAAATTTTCATACCAAAATAAAAGAGAATTCAACAACACTTCATACCATCACCAAACTCGCAGATAGTGGGAAAATAGAGAAAGAGATAGGGATGATGGTATTGGGATTAATCACTAAAATTGAACACATGTAATGCAACACAATATGCTTATCTTGCTCAAGTTTTACTTATCATTTTTGTTTACTCAATTTAATTACCAATTCATTCTTCAATTGATTAAGTCCAAGGTGAGTGTCTTCTAATGGAAAGATGGTTCAAATCACAAGATACTTTGGGTATGAAAGAGGCATTACACTATTGGTACTGAATCCCCTAAGGGATTAAACTATTAGGTGTAACATCTCAATTTCATACTTTGGCAAACAAGTGATTTAAAACCATTTTCAAAGCAAACAAAGAGTGAAGAATGGAGGGAGGTTGCAGAGGTTAAAAATGCTGAAATGGAGTGCAAAACAATACTAAAACATGCTTTCAACTCAAAATAATGATGCTCAAAACTTTAAAACACTAAGCTAGTGAAGGAATTAGTCCTATAACTATGCAATACAAGCCTCAAATGAATTAACCAGCCCAAAACAGAACAAAAACAGTGGCAAAAACATGTTGGACAAAAGCTAACTTAGGCTAGAAAAACATATTAACACACAAAGCTATCTAGGGATGCAAACAAGACACAAGGAGGGGAGGCTAACCTTTCCAATTTTGGACCTCAAAATATGGTTTTTACCACTGAAAATCTTCTGAAATTCAGTGGTTGAAAGGCGCAAAAAAGTTGGTTTTAAAGTGATAGAAAATGGTACAAAAGCTTAACAAGCAAAGAAGGCAAGAATGGTGGACTACCCCCTAACTCAAAGAGACCTCAAACCAACACTTTTAAACCATAAAAACAGAGTTTTTGAGAGTTCAAAATCAGCACAAAAACAGTTTGAAAAGATGACAAAACAAGTATTGAAAACAAGTTCAAAACACAAGTGTTATACCTCTTGAAGACAAGATGCAATTTAGACACTAAAACCAAGCTAAACCAAGCCAAGATCCTCTTCTATAGCTCAAAGAGGGCCTCAAGTAACCTCAACTCAATGGTGATCAAGTTTGATCAAGGGTTCGTATGCAAAAGTGTAGAGTATTTAGGCTATAAGGCACAAAATATCTAGAGAGAGAGAATTCTAGAGAGAGAGAGTTTTTTTTGTCTTCAAAATTTTCTAACCCTTGCACATGCAAGAGAGAGCATCTATATATAGAGAATGCAAAATCCCCTCATAAAGATCCAGCCACACACGTGTTGGAAGATGTCTCAGTCTGTGCAAACAGCTGGCACAAAATATCACAAAATATCTGTTGATACATTGGTGGCCGGCCGGCCATCAGTGATGGCCGATAGGGCTTCATTGATGGCCGACAGGGCACATCAATGGCTGGCAAGCCAAGAGCCATGGCCTGCAGCCCTCAAGGATGGCCGGCAGGCCATCAACAACATCATGCTAAAAAGACCTAGACATGGTCCAAAGATGAAACAGAATGGATGCAAGGTTTGGAAAAATCAAACCTGTGGCGTTTTGCCGCGGACTTCGAGCGCTCAACGAGCAATCAGACTCATTATAGGACGTACCTGCAAGAACATCCAAGTCTTAAAGGGGTTGTAAAAAATGGGGTGTCTACAGTATTATTTTTATATAATATTTTATTGAGTACAATTGCATAATTATATGTTTAATTTGTACCTATTTGTTTGCTTATAGATTATCTATTAGAATACCAACTTGGAAATTGAAATTGAAATTGAAAGCCGAAATAGATTCAAAAACCAAAATTAACTAGTTCAATAGGCTAATTGGAATATTTAGGATCATATGGCAAATTTGATTAAAATTTGATTCGAATCAAAATAATTGGAATAAATCAATTAAAATTAAGTTAGATTAATTAGACTTTAGCTTAATTAACTAGCTTTAATCCCACTTGATTAGTCTAACTTAATCCAGCATATATATAGGCAATATTTCACACCTCAAAATTTGGACAATTAAATATTAAATTAGGACTAAATCCCAATCAATATTCCATCATCAAAATCCTCTGGGTGAAACAAAATTTAAATGTTTTTGTCTCAATTTGGTTTAAGTAAATTTCAATACTCAAAAAAAGACATTACAAGGGATTAAAAAAAAATTACAAGGGATAAAAAAAATAAATAAATAACAAAATGCCAATCAAACCATCTATCATAAATTCATAACTATCCAATACCTCAGACATTAAAGTAGCAACAAATAGTCAAAACAACTTAAATAATGTAAAGTTAGAAAATAACTCACAATGCCAAGTTATCAAAATACTAAAGTAATAAATAAATAAATAAATAAACAGACTAATATCAACCCTAAACTCCAGAAAACAAAAGAAGTCCGAGAGACAGGTCCTACAATTGTAGTTATTTCTTGTCACCACCATATTCCCAACTAATCTTACAAAGGAAGTTCGGTTGCGCTTAAACAAAATGCACCCGAGATGCCAATAGACAAAACGGGTTAGTATACAAGTATATTGGTATGAATACAAGATCTGACAGCCATGTATCCTCTAGACACAAACAAAAGTACATTTAATTCTTGTTACGGGACAAGACAAGTAGCTCCATCCGCACCGAGAAGAATGAGTAGTTTCCCGAGATATAGTGGCATTTAGTTTCTTGCCCGTACACGAGTAAATATAAATTGGGTATATAAAAATAAATAAATAAGTAAAATATAGTGGGTTAGCCCTGCATAAAAAGTTAGTATGACCCACGATTCTGCAAAAAAATAAAATTAGTATAATTTAATCATAAGTAAATTACTGAAAAAATATAAAAATACACCATTTCATGCTTAAATTATTCGAATTGATTAAAACTCAAAGAACAAAAGTTGTACATAATCAAATTTTCTAAAAAACAAAGTGGAAGAATTTAGTAGAAAGTAAACAGGTTGAGAGAAGAACTTGATAGAAGAACCTAGACGGAAGTCGACCGAAAAACCTAAAGTTGAAAACGAAAAGAAACTGCCCTAAGATGACTTTTTTTCAAAAAAGTTAAAAATATGAAAAGTGTTCGGAATAAATTTTTACTTTAGCATACGCGAAATCAATGAAAATGAGCTCATTTTGTGGGTTAAAACAACATCTAAAATTTGCATTGCTAAAATGAATAAAAACTATTGTAACTAAGATGATTTGATTACAAGTTCTAATTGATCTTTTTAATAAAAAGTTAAAATACAAAAGTTGTCTAGAATTATGTATATATGCCTTTGCCCAAATTTCGTAATTTATCAAGGTCGTTTACTTTTTTTTTGAGATGTACAAATCAAAACAATTCAAACCATACCAATAAGCTCATATTTAATTCTTTGTAGCTTAATTCCACCACTTCGTCCCTTCACTTTCGGCCTACACATATATCCCGTGTGCCTTCCATATATCTAATACCTCTCTGAAGCCAAACTTGTATGGAGATATCATCCCGAGTTTGACTCACACTCCCCAGACGGGTAGCATATACGTAGGCACGTAAATCAAAGCACTTATTTACTCTTGAGAATGAGGCAACAATATATATATACACAACCTCTCATCTACTCATGAGAACAAACATAACAATGTCGAGCCTAAGGCATTCAAATAAATCTCATAATCCTCACTTTTTTTAATACATTTTTTCTCACCAACACTCAAATAAAACAACAATTCATGGAGTCATGGTGGAGTACTTAGAATTTATATATGGGTTCCTAATTTATTTTAATTTCATATATCTATGAGTGTGATTACATCCATAAGCAACATCTGTGTCAACTTGCTCTTCAGCCTCCTCTTCGTCGGCCTCTACATCCGAATAGTCAGCAGAGGAAAGAAAGAGCACCTTGAGTTGGCCGATGTCCCGAAGTGGCGAATTATTGGGGACCGACAGCTTTTAAGCACAGCCATCCAGCCCAAGTAATAGCCTTTGTTACAAGCTAGATTGACTTACTTCTCGTACTAGCCACACACGTCGGCTTGCCCTTCCTCGTAGGCTTTCTCGTTGATGGCCTTGATCTCAGGCTTCTTCGTTTCTAGAGTCGCCTTGAGCTTGGCCTCAGCCTCTGCAGCCTTAGCCTCAACCTCAACGTACTTCGCCTTAGCTACCTTGGCCGCGTCCTCAGCTTCATTCGTAGCGGCCTCCGCCTTATTTTGAGTAGTTTTGGCGGCACTGGCCTTGTCCATCAGATTCTTGATCCTGGCCTCGACCTTGTTGAGTGAAGAAAGAAAACCCGCAGCTTCTTGGGTCTTCTTGATGAAGTCTTTCTCTACCAACTTGGCCTTGACCGTATGGGAATGGGCATGTTGGATGGCCTGCAAGAAAAGAAGCAAGTTAGAAATTTTTTGATAAGTGTAAAAGACTGAAATGGAAAACAGTAAAGGAAATAGAAGAGTTAAGAA